TGCACTACCCTATTTGAAGTAGCAAGACTAATGAAGAGAAACAGACAGTATACTGTCCATTTCTCTTCATTTAACATGTGTACACTCCAGTGTGCACTACCCTATTTGAAGTAGCAAGACTAATGAAGAGAAACAGACAGTATACTGTCCATTTCTCTTCATTTAACATGTGTACACTCCAGTGTGCACTACCCTATTTGAAGTAGCAAGACTAATGAAGAGAAACAGACAGTATACTGTCCATTTCTCTTCATTTAACATGTGTACACTCCAGTGTGCACTGCCCTACCTGAAGTAACAAGACTAATTCCGTTTTTTATTTTTAAGGATTAGGCTTGTATCAATATAGTTCTTCCAAGAATGTAATGATTTTTGTGGCAGTGCAAGTAAAGCAGGTTACATTCCCAAAGAGAGTCCTCATTTAAGAGCTGAAATTAATGTTCTTAACTAATTTCATTCATAGTGTTTGGCACAAATGTGTAAACTTATCTCATTAATTCTGTCTTTGACAACTTGATTTCATGTAAAAAGTGTGAATGATTTATTATATTTGTACACATTTCTTTAATATTATTTTTCATTCCTGCTCAGTATTATAGGGAAGAAAGTAATGTGATATACAATGAAAAATTATTAACATTTGTTATTTCTTGTCTGTTACTGTGTTATGAGTTTAGGATTTTGTGGCCTATTAATTGCAAACTCAGCATTACCAGAACCAAATTTTTGTTTGTAGATACTCACCTCTCCACAATATACAAGTTCCATCAAATGGTGTTCAGTATCCAGCCATGTTGCTTCTGACTGCTGATCAGGATGATAGGGTTGTTCCTCTACATTCTCTCAAGTACATTGCTGAGCTTCAGAGAACTGTGGGAAGTTCCGACAAACAGGTAACTAAGTTAAGTCTTTTAATCAGAGTATTTGCTGAGAACTGTGGGAAGTTCCGACAAACAGGTAACAAAGTTAAGTCTTTTAATCAGAGTATTTGCTGAGAACTGTGGGAAGTTCCGACAAACAGGTAACTAAGTTAATTCTTTTAATCAGAATATTTGCTGAGCTTCAGAGAACTGTGGGAAGTTCTGACAAACAGGTAACTAAGTTAAGTCTTTTAATCAGAGTATTTGTTGAGCTTCAGAGAACTGTGGGAAGTTCTGACAAACAGGTAACTAAGTTAAGTCTTTTAATCAGAGTATTTGCTGAGCTTCAGAGAGCTGTGGGAAGTTCTGACAAACATGTAACAAAGTTAAGTCTTTTAATCAGAGTATTTGCTGAGCTTCAGAGA